CTGCCCAATGTATCCTACCTACTTTCAGATGCCATTGTAATTATATAACCAATGTTAATCACTTGACCTGTCAGTGGTCATAATGTTATGACCGGTGTATCCTAAAATGTTCACCTGCTGCCCAATGTATCCTACCTACTTTCAGATGCCATTGTAATTATATAACCAATGTTAATCACTTGACCTGTCAGTGGTCATAATGTTATGACCGGTGTATCCTAAAATGTTCACCTGCTGCCCAATGTATCCTACCTACTTTCAGATGCCATTGTAATTATATAACCAATGTTAATCACTTGACCTGTCAGTGGTCATAATGTTATGACCGGTGTATCCTAAAATGTTCACCTGCTGCCCAATGTATCCTACCTACTTTCAGATGCCATTGTAATTATATAACCAATGTTAATCACTTGACCTGTCAGTGGTCATAATGTTATGACCGGTGTATCCTAAAATGTTCACCTGCTGCCCAATGTATCCTACCTACTTTCAGATGCCATTGTAATTATATAACCAATGTTAATCACTTGACCTGTCAGTGGTCATAATGTTATGACCGGTGTATCCTAAAATGTTCACCTGCTGCCCAATGTATCCTACCTACTTTCAGATGCCATTGTAATTATATAACCAATGTTAATCACTTGACCTGTCAGTGGTCATAATGTTATGACCGGTGTATCCTAAAATGTTCACCTGCTGCCCAATGTATCCTACCTACTTTCAGATGCCATTGTAATTATATAACCAATGTTAATAACTTGACCTGTCAGTGGTCATAATGTTATGACCCCCCCCCCAATAACTCCAAGCTGTTCAGGGACAAACAAATGTCAGCTATACATTATACATCAATGCCGAATGGCAACGAGCTATGGAGGACTACAAATCTCGGCTTTAAGGTGGGCTGTGTGGTGTCATCCAGGGTCCAGGTCAGTCGCTCTCAGAGGTGCGGGCAGCATGGAGGAGGAGATTTTGTCTGGCGCTGTAAACACGTGCCGCCATTCACAGGAGGGCTGTGGGGACCTTGCTGGGGACCTCGACAGTCTTCCTGTGAAGCCCAGCACTTGTTTATTGCTCCAGCTTAAACATTTTAAGTGCCAGTATCGACGATTTGTTTCGGGGCATTTTCACAAGAACTCGTGAAAAAGCCCAGTATCGGCACCAATACCGATACTAGTATCAGTGCATCCCTAATATAATATACAGCTTTTTTTCCCCCCACTCATCCTCATAGTTAGAGCCGACTTGAGACAAAGAAGCCGTCACAGGTCGGCACTATTGATCGGGAAGTGAACAGAAACATGCACTGATCTGCTCACTTCCCGATAGTCTCCCTGCAGTGATCGGTGACTGGCAGTCACCACACCACACAGGGATTCCCCTCTCCCCTTCCCAATCCTCCAGCGCTGAGTGGAGGAACGAATGGGGGAGGAGGCGGGCACAGCTGACTCTGCCTCTAGATAGGCAGAGCCCACTGTCAACCAGCTGGGTGGATCTCGACAATTATTATACAGCTCGCTGTATACTGAGCTTTGGGTCACGGGAGGAGGTTAGTATATGTCCTCCCATGACCCTAAAGAGAACTTTGGGATAAAAAGGCTACCCCATAGTTCTCTTTTAACTAAAGTCCTCAAAACAAATTAACATAACATTGAAGGCCGCAAGTGATTAACGGAAATGAATAAAGGCCCATTTACACCACTATGCTTCATTTGCGTGCATTAACATGCATTGCATTAAGAGTCGATTCACCCCAGATGCATTGGGGCTGTGCTGCCCACCCTTTACACTGACAAGGCAAATAGGCTTGTTTTCAAGGCTGTGGTGGTGTGCGCTGAAAAAACTGTATGCATGGTACTACTGCATCGCAACACACTGTGGCTGTAGAACTGCATGAAATGTCATGCGTTACATTTTAATAATGTTCTAAAGAAACCAATGTGATATGCTGGCATTGGCGCATCTGCACTCTCTCTCACTGCACACCAGCAGCTGTGCGTTTAGTGTATTTCTCATGTTTATTTATATAACCAGGCAAATATAAAAGGCATTACAAACATGTAAAAATTTGCCAGGCTGAAACTGAAAATGACATATATATATATAGAATTTTAAATAATGTTATGTATTGTATTAGACATTTTAATTAGTTTCATGGATTTAAAATAATGTGAATTGTAAAACTCTAAACCAATATAATAAAATAACCAACCTTTTATTTAAAGGAGAACTATGAGGGGAATGAAAATCACTCATCCTAATAGTTCGAGCAGACGTGTGACAGTTAGACTGTCACATGTCGGCTCAATAGATCGAGAAGTGAGCAAACACATACTGTCGCTCGTTCACTTCTCAATCATGTCCTTGCAGAGAGTCGTGACTGTCACTCACGGCTACCTGCAAAGATTCCCCCCTCCCCGGCTCGTGGTACACAGAGCCTAGGGTGACGGGAGGACGCTAGTTTGTGTCCTCCCGTTACCCTAAGGAGAACTATGGGGAAAAGCCTTAAGCCCATAGTTCTCCTTTAAAATAACACACCCAAAAAAATGTTTTTGTATTTTTGGAGCAGTGAAGCCACGTCAGAAAAGGAACAGGGCAGCAGCAGAGGAGGAACGGGGCAGCAGTGATGGTGAGAGGGGGGGGGTAACAGAAACATGCACTGATCTGCTCACTTCCCGATAGTCTCCCTGCAGTGATCGGTGACTGGCAGTCACCACACCACACAGGGATTCCCCTCTCCCCTTCCCAATCCTCCAGCGCTGAGTGGAGGAACGAATGGGGGAGGAGGCGGGCACAGCTGACTCTGCCTCTAGATAGGCAGAGCCCACTGTCAACCAGCTGGGTGGATCTCGACAATTATTATACAGCTCGCTGTATACTGAGCTTTGGGTCACGGGAGGAGGTTAGTATATGTCCTCCCATGACCCTAAAGAGAACTTTGGGATAAAAAGGCTACCCCATAGTTCTCTTTTAACTAAAGTCCTCAAAACAAATTAACATAACATTGAAGGCCGCAAGTGATTAACGGAAATGAATAAAGGCCCATTTACACCACTATGCTTCATTTGCGTGCATTAACATGCATTGCATTAAGAGTCGATTCACCCCAGATGCATTGGGGCTGTGCTGCCCACCCTTTACACTGACAAGGCAAATAGGCTTGTTTTCAAGGCTGTGGTGGTGTGCGCTGAAAAAACTGTATGCATGGTACTACTGCATCGCAACACACTGTGGCTGTAGAACTGCATGAAATGTCATGCGTTACATTTTAATAATGTTCTAAAGAAACCAATGTGATATGCTGGCATTGGCGCATCTGCACTCTCTCTCACTGCACACCAGCAGCTGTGCGTTTAGTGTATTTCTCATGTTTATTTATATAACCAGGCAAATATAAAAGGCATTACAAACATGTAAAAATTTGCCAGGCTGAAACTGAAAATGACATATATATATATAGAATTTTAAATAATGTTATGTATTGTATTAGACATTTTAATTAGTTTCATGGATTTAAAATAATGTGAATTGTAAAACTCTAAACCAATATAATAAAATAACCAACCTTTTATTTAAAGGAGAACTATGAGGGGAATGAAAATCACTCATCCTAATAGTTCGAGCAGACGTGTGACAGTTAGACTGTCACATGTCGGCTCAATAGATCGAGAAGTGAGCAAACACATACTGTCGCTCGTTCACTTCTCAATCATGTCCTTGCAGAGAGTCGTGACTGTCACTCACGGCTACCTGCAAAGATTCCCCCCTCCCCGGCTCGTGGTACACAGAGCCTAGGGTGACGGGAGGACGCTAGTTTGTGTCCTCCCGTTACCCTAAGGAGAACTATGGGGAAAAGCCTTAAGCCCATAGTTCTCCTTTAAAATAACACACCCAAAAAAATGTTTTTGTATTTTTGGAGCAGTGAAGCCACGTCAGAAAAGGAACAGGGCAGCAGCAGAGGAGGAACGGGGCAGCAGTGATGGTGAGAGGGGGGGGGGGGGGGGGGGGGGGGAGGGACGTCAGGCTCACATATCTCATATTTCACTTCAGCATTTCGGCTTCTTTTAAGCATTTCAAGGCATCACGCAGCCTATTCCGTACGTGCAACACAGAAACATTTAATTATAGGTTACCGCTGCAGCCAGCACCAGCGGGGAGGAGAACGGAGAAGCGGTGGCAACTAATCGTAAATCAACTAATCGATTATGAGAATCATTGCCAACAATTCCCATTATCGATCATAATCTATTAGTTGTTGCAGCGTTCACAGAGCTGTGACAGACACTGAGCTGGCTTGCAGCTCACTGTGTTGTAGAGCTGCGAGCAGGCTCAGTGTGTTACAAATTGATACAAAGTATCTCTGAGGCGAATGCGGCATTCTTCTCAGAGATACTAAGTATCAAAAACCCTGTAAATTAAAAAAAACCCCTTAGTGCTTAATTTAAAAGTTAAAAAAAATTGTAAGAAAATATAGTGCTGAGGAGGCTAAGATAGGAGACAAACATATCACATTATAAATTGTATTTCACTCCTTGTTTTTAGTGACTTATAGCTTCCAAAATAAACTGAAATCCCAGACCTATAATATACCCTATAAATCAGGACAAATATAAGAATGTATTATCAGTTACTCTCCGCTAGTTATACTAAGTATTTACACATTATTATTGTAAAAACTGTGGGTTTTGTTTGCATTTTTTTGTAATTTATAGATATATGTCACATCACATTATAGCCCATTTTGCCCTTTAAAAAACGGTATATAATATGTGCAGGTGCAATGAATGAGGAACATGGAAATTACGGTTAAACAAACATAGCAGAAATGGCAAAATTGCTCCAGGCCCCAGGAACAAAAACCTTTTTCTGAAGCTGTGTCACTAAGGAGTTAAACAAATAGAGCTTATTCCAACATCTCTCCTCGTCACCTAAGGATTCTCTCTGTATGCTACATGTGAATAAATAGTGTGTTTTGCTAAAAAGAATTTACTTACACTATGAGCCAATGCATGGATATCCACATTGCCATGAACTGTGCCTAAACACACCACTTTGCCTCCTTTTGTACGAATGTGAACATTGTGACCCTGAAATTACAAAAATAGTGTGAATGGCAGAAGTAATAAAAATTGTCACAAAAAAAACCCCAAACAATGTTTTTGATGTTCTTGTAAGAAACAAATATTTAAACTGTCAGTGATAATTTAAACAGAGTACAGGAAATAATCAGGCTCAGTTGCCTAGTAAACAACAACACATTGTCTTCAGTCTATGTAAACTTCTCAGCAGAGCATGTATTTCAGGTTTGCTTTCCAGGGCACGTACCTGTTCATTCCTTTTCCTGGGGTAACCATTCATAGGTAGGAAAAGAACAGCAAACCTTTTTGATGTACTGAAATCATGTGGTTACATTTAATACCTATCAGTGGTAGCAGTTATCTCAATCACAAAATGGATTAAACGCAGCACCAAGCCAAAGCCTTTAAGAGGAACTACAGGTAAAATATGACAAACACTGCTGACATCAGTTAAATATTGGTTTAACCCCTTCATGACCGAGGCCTTTTTTTCATTTTTTGTACCCATGTTATATTCCACATTTTAGGCCTGAAAATTACTTAAAACCCCCCAACATTATTGGGGCGGCCCCTTCTTCGGGACGCAGAAGCGATCTGGCGACAGGTAAGTCGCCAGGATCGCTTCTGTTGTAAAGACGACAGTCAGCTCTACATGTTTAAACAGAGTCCCGGCGGCAAAAGTCACCGGGAGTCTGTTTAAACAGCCCCGATGCTGGCGACGTACACTGTACGTCGTCAGTCACGAAGGGGTTAAAAATAAATTACACTTTATAATATCGCTAGTAGAAGAGCCTGGAAGCTGCCTTTAATCCCCTGCACAACACAAACCCAACCAGGAGATTATGCACTATCAATCAGGCTCTACACATTGTTGCAAAACATGTGTTTCAGGCACAGGAGTTATATCATCCTGGCACAGTCATGAAGGTGGCCGCCCATTCGCTTGTATAGTGCTGGGGAGCGTGCACCCCCCCGGCTACTGCTGGTTCCGCTATCAACAGTGCTGGCCTGGGACTTTGATCAGTGGGAGTCAGCACACTTTCAGCGGCTGATCTCTGCTCCGATCACTGAACCCAGAAGCACTTCAGGCTGCCATTTCTCCAGCTGCTGTCGCTGAAGAAGAAACTGATGAATCAGATCTCTGCTTCATCAGCTTCTTTGGGGTCCCTAGGTAAAATTAGGGTTGTAATAGACCCCTGGTGTCTCTATAAAGAGGACCTGTCACATCCTCTTTGCTATTACATAGGGGGCTTTGTTAGCCCCCTGCGAGATAGCAATAACGTTAAGCTTAAAATAAAAAATAAAATAAAGTCACCAAAAACAACATTTTCAAAGTCCCCCACCCAAACACATACAAATGCAAACATGTGTTGGGTGTGCCTACGTGCGAAAATGATTGTGCCACACGTTACATTACATAAACATTGTAGAAATGTCACCAGCACACCAATCCTTTTAAGATAGCAAAAGCTTCATTTATTGAAGTTTTTTGTCATATGACCAAACAAGCGCTTTAGGGACCGCGCAGAGTCCCTTCATCAGGCTTTAGCATTAGCCTGATGCACCCCCCACTACAAGGGACATATCGGTAAGGAGTGCGACAAGATTAGTACTTATTACGTTACATTACATGCCACGCGTTGGCATGAGAGCAATAATCAATCACTGATAACAATTGATGAGCGGTAATGGCTTTAAAAATGTTGCCTATAGAAGTTTTTGTGTATTTTTGCGATACCACGGGCGCGCGCACTTTTAAAGATAACAAAGAGGGGTGCCTTTCCTGGTGTAGATAGGTTTATTCTTATAAATAGGTTAAAATGAACTGGCAGGTACTCGCAAGAGTAGAATGATAACAAGCTGCAGGACAATGTAAAAACCAGAGCAATGAAGGGATCCGTGTAGTACGTCCTGTATACAGATAGGTGAAGTGTCGACGCGTTTCCGGGGCACACCCCCTTCTTCAGAACGCTGATTTTAAGGCTCAACATGTTTGGTATCTATTTACCTGTCGTGACCCCATCTTTTATATTTCACAACAAAATTGGTATTATTTTCTGTTTCTGTGCATTAAATTTAATTTTAGGTTATTTTTTCCTAAAATTACTGGTTTGATAAACATTTGTGCAAAGATCATGCAACATACAAAATTGCAAGTAGCATTTTTTTTCTTCTTCTACGGGCCTCTGTTTTCAGAAAATATTAAAAATTGTTTGGCAGTTTTAAATTGTTTTCTAGGCAAAAATTCTGATTTTATCATGTGTGTGCAAAAATTAAGACATTGCTACAGACAGCAAGTAGTTAAAGGAGAACTATGAGGGGAATGAAAATCACTCATCCTAATAGTTCGAGCTGACGTATGACAGTTAGACTGTCACACGTCGGCTCAATAGATCGGGAAGTGAGCAAACACATACCGTCGCTCGTTCACTTCTCAATCATGTCCCTGCAGAGAGTTGTGACCGTCACTCACGGCTCCCTGCAGGGATTCCCCCCCTCCAGCACTGACTGGTGGAATGGATGGGGGAGGGGGCAGGTACAGCTGGATCTGCCTCTAGATAGCTCAGTATACCGCGAGCTATACTGAGCTTTGGGTCACGGAGGACGCTAGTATATGTCTTCGCGTGACCCTTAGGAGAACTATGGGGAAAAACACTGACCCCATAGTTCTCCTTTAAGCTCCACTTAAGAAGCTGCAAATCCTGGGCTCACTGGCAGCAGTAATTTAGTAACTTACAGATTGCATAAAGTGTGTTCTTTGTGCACAAATATTTGTTTCCTTTTTTTCCACTGGGAGACATTGGGACAGCTTACTAGAGGAGGAAAGTACAGACAGGACCTTAGCAGTAAGATGATGCTCATCCATAAAGAAAACCAGCAATATGTCAATGAGATACCTAAAGATATAGATACATTCCTAGGGCGAGATTGCTGTCAAATAGATACATGGCCTTCATATTATAAGACAAACAGCTAAAACAAAAAGGGTTTGAAGTTAATTAGAATAGAAATTACCCCAAAGGGGTTCCTCTTGCTTTGTCCATAAAGTAAACAGACAAAACTTGGGTTACAGATCGGACATGTGACTCCAGATGTGTAGCATGTGTGTAAGATGAGCTTCTAACAACATTCTGGCTGTGTAAATACTACTTTACTCCCCGTTACAGCTATCTACAGATATAGCTTCACTGAGTTTAATAGCTCAGCAGCAAACTTCAAAACACAAACATAGCTTATACTTCATCCTTTTGAAAACCTCTTATTTATTTTGTTTTCCTCTATGCCTTTGCTGCGGACACAGCGAGTTACTAAAACATTACATTCTGCAGATTACTCTTCTTTACTGAGTGCAAAGAATGTGGCAGAACATGAAACAAATTACAGCCTAAGAAAACACACCTTACAATTTTTCCATAGTGTTTTTCCAATGCAAATACTGAAAAGTTTACATTTAATTGCAGATGAACATTTCAAAAATGAAACTATAATTGAGTTTTTCCATGAGGTTTTAGGCTATTTTAGATCTGGGTTTTGTATGCTATTTCTAGTTTAATACAGACCGTCGTTTATGATGGCTAACGCATTCAGGGGTCCCGGGGCCGACCCTTCCCTCCCTCTCCTTTTTTTACCAATTTCTCATTACTTCCTTTTTTATCTTATTTCCAATCTCCTGGTTTCTCTTGCTAGATTGTTATTATCTGTTATCATGTAACCTGATTTTTTAGCCCTTTCCCTTCCTCGCAGTCTGGAGGGGATGTAGGGTATCTACAAGACTATTTTGGTCTTTCATACTGAATGTTCAAAATGCTTCATTTACCGGCCTTGGACTCTTCTACAACAATTCTATACATAAGTATTGTATGTTTGACACCATCTAGGCCTGTGTGCCAAATATTAAATAAAAAAAGTTCAATACAGTGTGCACCAATGACACAGGACTTACAAAGCACTGTTGCTTTTCTAAAGAAGCACATGATAGCAGGTTCCTTTAGGTCTGTGTCTCCTTGATTGAAACATCATATTGGAGCCATCTTCTCTGACTCCTTACAGTCTGATGAAAAATAGAGCTCAATAGCAAAAGCTCAAATTAACACTATCTGCTGTTTGCAAAAACCATAGGTCTGACTCAGAAGGTAAATCACTATTTACCATCTACAAGCAGCACAATAGGTCTTCTGCAGTGTTTTACCTCCATGTTCTGAAAAGAGTGTAATTCCTAGCTCTAATCACAGAGAAAGAAGTCATAGGCTCCGGTAAGGGGATTTCCTCATGTTTCCTCTTACTTCCTTTTTGTTTATACGGAACAGAAGTAAAGAGAAATCTCCCCATCAGACAAAGATGTCTGACTTATCATTTTTGTCTCTTAAACGGGCTGCAGCTAAATGCATGTACTGTCCTGCGTTCCGAAAATCTTGGTTATTTTAATGCCATGATAGATATTACATTGTTTACACGGACCTTTGATAATTATGAGTAGTGACTGTATGCAACAAATGTCCATGAATGAGGGTTTTTATAACCCATATAGCAATGCACATTAAGTTACTGTACACTCATAAAAATGATCAGTCATTGGGCATATGATGGAATGCCAAAGTTTGAGACTTATCATTACTATTAAAATTATCAATGTAAAGAGCTTAGATGTCTACTTACACATTTACTCTGCTCATTTCACATTCTGCATTATTACCTTGACAGACTGTAGGACGCTGTTGCCCTTCTCGGTTTCTATTTGGCAACTGTCACACTCAATTCGTTTAATGTTCACACAGCCTGATCCCAAAGTTTGGATGTTCACATCTAAAAATAGATTAGGAATAAACACAATGAGGATGTGTAGATAATATAATGACTAAATAAAAAATGATTACAAAAAAAAGCTCTTCATACTTCAGACACAAATATACATGGCAAAATCAAACAATTATCTGTCAAAATGGTGCCATGTTCTTCTGTAGTGTAGTTCCGGGCACCGGGCAGGTGGTTTTTTTTCTACATTTAACCCTGCTGAGGGCAAGAAGGACTAAATGTAGAGCAGCGGAGCCGCCACTTGTTTTCTACTGATCTGGGTGGCTGTAGAAGTCTGCTTGTCCATCCCAATCCACCGCCCCCTCCTCCCTGCCGTGGTTTTCGGGGTCCCTGCTCTTCTGGGGGACCCAGGATCACAGCAATGACTTCAGGATAGAGAGTGGGGAGCAGACCACAGAACGTCCATTCCCCATTTGCTCTGTGTGATCAGTGAGACAGGTGCGCTGTACTCACAGCATTTCCTGTTGCAGCTGTCACAAGTGGAGCTTCACAGGAGATCGAGCACAATGCTGTACTTGATCTTCTGTATTGGAGGGCAGGCTTCATAATAATAAATAAAATAAAAAAGTGAGAAAGTAGAAAAATTATTTTTTTTAAAAAACCAACAACCACGCACATGTAGAGCCTTGTGTGTGTGTGTGAGTGTGTTTATGTGCATGCTGAGTGCTGCCCCCATTCCACTGTGTGCCATATGGTGGTAGCCGAGCAGCAGCGCTGTCAAACACGCACAATGTGCAGTAATGGGTAACTTCACTTTCCCAAGTAATTTGGGGGAATGGAATTACCCACTCAAATCTGGCCCCCTCTCCTTAACCACTCCAAAGCCACCCAACACGCCCCCCCCATACTTACTTTTCAGCGAACGATCCTTCCGCTCCGCCGATACGGGTGTACTATCTGTACCAAATTCTGCCATTCAGTGCAGTATAGATTTTGAATTTCAAAAATGACCGCGCTGACCAATGAGAAGCTCTTCTTAGCACAGTTAAATACGGTTTTGTTCAAAATTATTTTTTGTATCAAGTAGATTGTCATGAGGGACAAGTAGATTGTCATGAGGGACAAGTAGATTGGGCCCCCGCTTTAGCCCTTGAACAAATGTCCACATCCCTGTATATACAACCTGGTATAAAATCATTTATACCATTCATACATTATTTCTATCAATCTGTTCTATACTCCAAAATAAGTTTGTTTGCAATAATTTGGGGGGGGTTTTCCCCCTAAAAATTTGGGATAAAACTCCCCAAAAAAACACAAAGCAAAACTGATAAACATTTAGCCAAAATAAGAGATTTGTGTTGAGTAATAACAAGGGACTTAAAAAGTGGACCTTTACCCCCTTTCACTAAAAATCACATCAGCATGCAGTTCTGCATGCTGATTTAAACTCATCTTATATTTATTAGTTAAACAAACTTGTTTTACTAATGAATGTAAGAACTATGTGCTGTCAGTCAGCAGAGGAGGGAACTGAAGGAGAACTATTGGGCAAGTGCAAAAGCCAGCCTGCTATTGGTCACTGCAATTTAAAATAGCCAATAACAGGCTGGCCATTGCCTGCTGTGTTTACATTTAGTCACCTTAAAGAGTAAACCTGTCACTAATGTGCTATCACATAGGGGGCATTTGAGCTCCCCATGTGATAGCAATGAAGTAAAAAACTAAATTAAATAAAAAATACCCCCAAAAAAGTTTAACGTCCCCTGACCCCGCGAAATTTCAAAACCGAAACGAAACCGAAATAGAAAAAATTGTTAGGCCGAAATCGAAAATGTTTTTTATTTTAATTTTTTCACATTTTTTAAATATTTATTTTCTATAAACTTTCTATAGGGGCTTCGGGGAAAATATTGGGGGTCTAAACAGGCCCCTGATATTTCTCCTTTTAAAATAGAAAAAGAGATTGAGAACAGAGTCCTCAATCTCTTTTTCTGCAGCCCCAGTTATGTGAGTGTTCCTGGTCATCCATACCATGAGGACATTTTGTGTTTACTATAACCACAATCATGAATGCAGGAGGTGATGTAGATCACTTCCTATTCATTCATAATTGAGGATATAATCAACATGCTATGTCCTCAATTATGTACAAACTCAGTGATCACTGATCGCTGAGTGTTTGTACCTGGCTCTTCTCTCTGACACGCTGTCACAGGAGGCTGAGCGAGCGATCCAGGGAATAGAGCTCAGCCTCCTGTGACAGCACGGTCTCCGCCCCCACACCGCTATGCTGGACTGTGATAGGAGGCTGAGCGGTGTTGGAGGGGAGACAAAAATGCACTTTCGGCATTTAGCCAAGTGCCATTTTTGGCCGATATGTTTCACGGCCGATATATCGGTGCATCCCTAATATATAAATAAATATATAATTTTTCGTCCAATTTGGGCGTGTCATTTTAAATAATAGGTTGGTTATTTTATTATATTGGTCGGAGTTTTAAAATTGAGATTATTTTAAATGCATTAAACTAATTAAAATGTCTAATATAATGCAATCAATTATTTAAAAAAATATTTAAAAAAAAAAAAAGTTGGGAAGAGTCATTTTTGGCTTCGGCCTGACAAATTCTGCTGCGGGAAGTGCGTTGTGGTGCCATTCATTCCAATGGCACCCCAAACGCACTTGCTGCCCGCAGTGTGATCGGAAGACAGTTTCATGTCACATGTCATACACCATGGCAAGAATGCGCACAGTAACAAGACACAAGTTAGTTATACTGCATCAACAAGGTCTCTCCCAGGCAAAGATTTCAAAGCAGACTGGGGTTTCAAGATGTGCTGTTCAAGCTCTTTTGAAGAGCTGTAGCAGGAGGCAGCCTGTTCGCCGGAGGGCGGTACTACAAGGAGAGTCTGCAGGCAACAGTGAAGCATGGTGGAGGTTCCTTGCAAGTCTGGGGCGGTATTTCTGCCAATGGTGTTGGAGATTTGGTCAGGATCAATGGTGTCCTCAATGCTGAGAAATACAAGCAAACACTTATTCATCATGCCATACCATCAGGGAGGATTGTGATTGGCCCCAAATGTATTCTGCTCCTGGACAACGACCCCAAACATTAAGAACTATCTTCAGCGTAAAGAAGAACAAGGAGTGCTGGAAGTGATGGTTTGGTCCCACAGAGCCCTGATCTCAACATCATGGAGTCTGTCTGGGATTACATGAAGAGACAGAAGGATTTGAGGCAGCCTACATCCACAGAAGATCTGTGTTTTTTTTCTCCAAGATGTTTCGAACAACCTACCTGCCGAGTTCCTTTAAAAACTGTGTGTATGTGTACTTAGAAGAATTTATGCTGTTTTGGGGGCAATGGGTGGTCACACCAAATATTGATTTGATTTGGATTACTCTTCTGTTCATTTACTTTCCATTTTGTTAATTGATTTAAAAAATAACACTTTTATTTCTGAAAGCATTCTTACTTTACACCATTTTTTCACACCTGCCTAAAACGTTTGCACGGTACTGTATATATACTGTATATTATCCCTGGCAGAGCTACGTGGATCGTGTAGTACACTGTAGTAGCTGCAGCAACTACAGTGTATTACAGCATCTTCCTTGTCCTGCAAGTCTTCTCCTGGCCAATTCTGTCTCCTGTTTGGTAGATGGCTCCATAGAAGTCTATGGGGCTGTAATGTGCAGGTGCAGCCAGCAGAGGGAGCATTGGCACTGGAATGTAAATAGAGGAACCATCCCTGTCAGATTTCAGTAAGTACAGATCTGCAAGGAGGAAAGAGGGAGGGAAAGGTAGGATCCTTTAGGTTAGGGGGTAGGGGCAAAAAGGAGAAGTACACTTTGTTTTAAAGTGCACTTCCCCTTCAAAAAATGCATATATTAACCACTTGAAGTCCGCGGTGTTACACCCCCTTCCCATCCAGGCCATTTTTCAGTATTCAGCGCTGCGATACTTTGACTGACATTTATTCCGTCGTCCAACGCTGTACTGAAATGAATTTTATACCATTTTTTGGGGACAGATAGAGCTTTTTTTTGGTGGTATTTATTCACCACTACGGTTTTTATTTTTTACTATATTAAGGAAAAATTACCAAAATACATTAAAAAAAAACTGTTTCCCCTATATTAAATGATAAAGCATTTATTATTACCCAATTTTTTGGTAAAATATAAAAGACGGGGTCACGTCGGGTAAAAAGACACCCAAAATTGGCCATAGGCGACGCTTTAAAAGCTTTTACCGCTTATCAGTTTAGTGTTATCAGTGATTGATGGCCCTAAAATGATTGCTCTCACTGCGACGTTTGCGGCGGTATGTAACGTGTGTAGCGCAATTGTCGTTTTCGCGCGCAGGTGTACCGGACGCGTATTTACATTTATATGTGCGTAAACGTGGGGGTGGGGGACTTAAACATTTTGGTTTTTTTTTAACTTTCTTTACATGTGACTTTTATTCTTTTTACTTTTTTTTATTTATATATGTATTTATTTTTTACACTTATTGTTATCGCTATTACATAGGGGGATAGCAATCTGCTTCATCAGTTTCTTTTCTCTGGCTATAGCAGCCAGATGACTGACAGGTGAATGCAGAAGTGATGTAACACACATCACTTCTGCATTCACAGCCCAGGGGGAGATCAGCAAGGAGCTGACCTCCCTTCCACTTCCTCCTGACGCCCTCCCGAGCCGGTCCTGGGCCGCAGATGGGCTAGCGGATCCCGGGATTGAAGGTGAGGGGTTAGGAGGGGGGGCGACGGCAGCAGACGAGGGGGGCACACACCAGCACATATACATGATCGGCTGGCTATAGAGCCGCCGATCGGGTATATGTTAAACAGCCGGTAACGGCTCTATGCAGTGCACAGGTTTTTTATGCCCGTGCGCTAGGGGGCGCATGCGAACAGAAATAAATATGCTGTCTGGGGACGGCAACCCGCTAATGCAGCAGTAGCGTCCGTCTGTTTTTTTTTCAACGGGCGGACGACAACTGGTTAAATATAGATTTTTGTACCTTGAGTGGGGCTGGCAACTACACGTTTGGATGTGCAAGCTCCACCTGTCTCCTGGGGGAAGGGGTGCAGTATTCTCTTGGGTGCCATAAAACCCAATCCACAAACTGCATTGGGTTTAAAAGAGAACTATGGGGTATGTGTTTTTCCCCATAGTTCTCTTAAGGGTCACGGGAGGACATATACTGGCATCCTCCCGTGACCCAAAGCTCAGTATATAGTGAGCTACAGCTCGCCGTATACAGAGACCGCCGCAGCTGGGACGGAACCCGACATTACTGTCAAGATCCACCCAGCTGCGTGAGTGACAGCTGGCTCTGCCTATCTAGAGGCAGAGCCAGCTGGACCCGGCCCTTCCCATGTCCGTTCCTCTAGTCAGTGACTGACAGTCACGGCTCTCGGCAGGGAGATGATTGAGAAGTGAGTGAGTGAGCGACGGTATGTGTTAGCTCACTTCCCAAACTATTGAGCCGACGGCTCGAACTAGGAGGTTGAGTGATTTTCACTCACCTCATAGTTCTCCTTTAATGACTGCTTACTTTTGAAGGGTTAGTTCACCTTTTCATAAAAATTAAAAAGGCGAACTTAACATCTTCCCTACCCCCTGGTCCCCGCTGCCCTTAACTGCTGTCATGACCATATTGCAAAGGGGTGGACAAACTCTTCCAGCTGTTGTGGAACTACAAATCCCATGAGGCAATGCAAGAGTCTCACAACCCACAGACATGACTCCCAGAGGCAGATGCATCACAGGATTTGTAGTTTTACCACAGCTGGAGTTTGCTTGATCTAGCATGACCCATGCCAGCAAGTGTAACAGACTCAAAACTTCACTACTTCTAGCAAGCAGTCATTGGTCGGTGTGGCCACATGACCATGCTGACCAATGAAACTATCTTTTGAACCTTCTTTCTACCAGGATACTGTCCCAGAAGAAAGCAGAGGTTGGCATTTGTCAGGAGGGGTCATTTGACCACACTGGCCATTGCCACTCTTCTGATGCCACACAACCGACGGGGCCGCATAGTGAAGTAATTAAGTGTGCGACCCATTATATTAGCTGGCAAGGGTCACGGAGACCAGGGGGAGGTTATTTTGAGTTAGTTCACTTTTTTTTTATTTATGAAAAGGTGAACTTTACCCTTCAAGCAGAAATCATTGCAGACAAGCCCAGGGTCAGAAGCTGTTCTCTATTCAGGAAGGGTCCATCACCCTCCATCCACACTAAGCCCACGAGGATGACCATGACTCAGATATCTTTGTCCTGTGATGACTTACCTGTGCCCAGCCACAAACACTTTTACATATATGTGCAGGCTCATGGCTCTAACCCTGCACGTCTTATCACATGCTCGGACTACACAGGGAACATTCATTGACGGGCCCGGGACATACCGAAGCGTATCGGAGTGGTGACCTCCACACAGCTGCGGCTGTCTATGTTCTGGGAGGTGATCCGCACCTGCCTGGACTCCTCGTCGTATCTGACTTCAATGTTGTCCAGGTCCAGCCCCCGGTGCTCATTGCGGTCCACCCCGCTCACCTGGACGAACACTCGGTCAGCGTCCGGGTAGGTGAGCGGGTCCTGCGGTCTAACCCGCACATCACATGGCAGCTTGACCCTCAAGCTGCTCAGAGGGTTGACGATCAGAGTCCACTGCTTGAGGGGCTTATTGCGAGCCACCCCGGTACTCTTGTGCCTGCAGGCTGTTCTACCAGTGCCTCCCAACAACCAGCACCAAAGGCGGCTGCGGGACACCAGAGACACCATCATTGCCTTATAACAGCCATGCAGCTTCTTCTCTCTGCTGAGCTGCAGCGCGGGGGCTGCCGGGAGTTGTAGTGAAAATAGCAGTTCTGTTCAAGGGTCGGAAGGAGGAAGAAACTACATTTCCCAGAATCCCCGAGCACAGATACTAGGCGTGCTCAGTCTGTCGTGTGTTTACTTGGTTTGGTTGATCCTACACTGTACGTCAGCTCTATGTACTGTACTATGTACTATGCACTATGCTGGTAAACATGTTTTTCTGCTGTCTGTGTGCAATGATCTATCCGCAGGGCAATTTATGTGCACCAACGATGACAACATTACATTCTTTAGTGGTCGTTAGTGTGTGCCAAGAACGCATGAAAACTTCTACTGCTGGAAGCAAAGTCAGTAATGGGACGTTGTGCAGAAATTATATTTGGGCCCCTATTATAACTGTCTTTATGACAATGAGCTTGGGTTTGATCCCAACTTGAGCTCATCTGAAACTGAAAGGCAGCCAGGCCAAGCACCAGCATCCCAGGGCTGTGTTTACCTGCATCTGCCGGACGGGTAATGCCCTGGCTGCAGCTGATCATGCAGGAACTGACAGCTTCCGGGTGCAGACTAACTCATGTCTGGACTGAACATAAGCTCATCCCTAATGACAAGTAACATGCAACATAATAACAAAATTGGTTCCCTTTAGCAACAAGGAAATCCCAAAGTGGAGCTGTCTAATTAGTAATTAGTAACATGTAAATTCTATCACAAATAATTTTAATTGAGTAGAAAAATAGAAACCACACAGAACAAACATTAAAATCTTAAAACCTCAAAAGCTTCCCTGCAACAGCTTTGTGTGCATATATGAATGGTGGCAAAGATTATAGTTACACCTCATGGGCGGCGAGCAACCAGTAATAGATGGATCAGACACTAGAAGTGTATCGAATATTGATGTATCCTTACTTCAAAAGATCCTTACACACTCACTCCATGTGGTGTTTCTTTGTAACAGTCCAAACAGGTTCCACAGCCGGATTGGTGATTTCTCATCAACCTCCCTGGATCATGGAGGTAGAAAGTATCAGTTTGGTGATTGTTGGATAGTAGCAGTTAAGGAAGCACTTCAGATTATTTAGAAGATCAGTAGTCACCCCATAGGATCCCTAGGTGTTTGTAAGCAATTTCAAGTTGTCACACTCGTACCTGATATCTGACGGGTAGCCACACCAGGTGACACCCAGCCTGGGGACACCTCTGCCTCTTCATTCTTTCATTCCTGTATTGTCCTTATGGTTAACTTCTTCTATTAAAGTTGTATAGTTGAAGTTACAGAATTGTACCTGCTGTTTCTTTATTTTAGGTCTCCCTTCAAGACACAGAAACAACTACTACCAGAAGATTACACACTGCTTTGATCTAATGGGCACCTTTAAAAAAAATGACTGGAAGCTGAAAGTTGTATGAAAATATGGCAACTTCAGTCAAGCTGTTATCTCTCCTCCATCCCTTTGTTGTGACTTTAAAGGAGAACTATGGGGTCAGTGTTTTTCCCAATAGTTCTCCTTAGGGTAACGGGAGGACACAAACTAGCGTCCTCCCGTTACCCTAAGCTCAGTATACCGCGAGCTACAGCTCGCGGTATACTGAGACGCCGCAGCCGGAGCGGATCCCGACTTAGATGACGGAATCCGCCCAGCTGTGTGAGTGACAGCTGGCTCTGCCTATCTAGAGGCAGAGCCACCTGTACCCGCCCCCTCCCCTGTCCGTTCCGCCAGTCAGCGCTGGCAGATCGGAGCGGGGAGAGGGGAATCCAGCCCCTGTCACAGCAGAGAGCCGTGACAGGATCGAGAGGTGAGCGAACCCGGTATGTGTTCGCTCACCTCCCGATCTACTGAGCCGACCTGTGACAGTCTCATTGTCACAGGTCGGCTAGAACTATGAGGTGAGTGAAAAGCACTCACCTCATAGTTCTCCTTTAAGTTTATTGGGGGTAATGTCACCTACTTTTGTGGGACAGTGCAGTATACTGGTGGTATAGTACAACTACATGGTGCTCAAGACCTGAAAGACTGAGCAGATGATATCACTCAGCAAGAATGTAGACTACACTAACCCATATTGTCTAGCACATCAAATAATGCCATGGAATCTGCAGCCATCATCATCTCCTCTAATTCTCCACCCTCTTCATTTTGAGCCCCCACCAGCCCTGTAAAGTGAGCCCCCCCCTCATATACTGCCACAATCAGACCCTCCTTCCCCCATTGGATAGCTCCCCTTAAATTCATCAAGCAAAGATATACATACAATAATGTGCGAGCTGAAGAAACAATCAAATATAAACAGTGAAATATACAACAATGATTATAGGCTGAACTCAAACCACATAACATACACAGTGAAATAAAGTCCAAAAATAATCAAACGATGCGTTGCAGATAACGAATCCAAGCAATGCGATGCAACGTGTGCAAGCAAAGATATCACTTATTATTATACAGGATTTATATAGCGCCAACAGTTTGCGCAGCGCTTTACAATATAAGGAGGACATTACACTCACAATACAAATCAAGACAAGATGGTAAGGAGGGCCCTGCCCCTGAGGGCTTACAATCTAAAAGGGAGGGAGAAGTGATACATGAGGAGGTAGCTGTGTGGGGATGAATTGTTTGAGAACTTACCCCAATAAATGTCCCCCTCACACACTGGCAAAGAAGAATCCCCACAACAGAAGATATTAACACAGACAACCAATGCAAAGGGTCAAGGTTGGAAAAGTTGGAATAATTTATTTAGGCCCACTGACATGGGATTGTGGCGGTCCCGGTGTTTTTCCTCTTGTTTTCCCTGTTTTTTCTTTCAATTAAATTTAGGTACTGTCCCTTTAAGATGTTAACTGACAAATTTCGGCGGGAAAAGGACAGGTTTCGGCTGGAAAATCGGGCTTGTGTCTCTTCTTTTTTTATCCAACCTTTCCTACATGTCAGTGCCTTATCAATCGACCAAGATCTTAATAAGGAAAAAAACAACAAAAAAGCGCCAGAGAGGACTGCTCAACCAGTACAAACCAATGTACACATGAATAAAATTAGAATCAAAGTCTGTTTGGAAATTGATGATTGAATTAAAAATTGGTGAATGAGTAAATAAAAAACACGTTTAGTGTGCATGTTCTCCTCAATCTTCCGAATTGACCATCCAAAACATTTCTAATCCATCGGGGATGATGATTACTCTTAGCATGTAGATAAGAGTTTCCCGCTGTGGGTTTGAAGTGGGTTTTAGAAATTATTGTGCCTGTCTGGTCAAATGTCAATTCGAGGTCTAAGAAGACCAAAGATTTATCATCCACTGTATATGTAAAATCTAGATGGAAGGGATTGTTTTTACAGAAGTCTACAAAAGATAGTAGTTCTTCTTTGTTCCCATCCCAGATTATGATGATATCATCAATATATCTAGCATACAACACCAGTTTGGACCCAAAGGGGTTGTTGCGCCAGATGTGTGACTCTTCCCAAAGCCCCATCAGTAGATTCGCATAGCTGGGGGCAAAGCTGGCCCCCATGGCTGTGCCTTTTAGCTGTATATAAAAGGAGTCTAAGAAGGTAAAATAATTGTGGGTCAGGACAAACTCTATTGCTTCCAGAATAAAATTGGCCTGTTTAGAATTGAAAAGGCCTGACGAGGACATAAAATGTTGGACAGCTCTGAGTCCAAAAGTGTGTTCGATGGAAGTGTAGAGTGAGGCGACATCTAGGGATGCCCACAAGTATCCTTCTTTCCATTTATATTCTTTCAATATCTCTAGAATATGCCCAGAGTCCCTAACGTATGAAGGGAGTAATCCCACTAGGGGCTGTAGAAACCAGTCGATATAGTTGGCTAGGTTATAGGTCAGGCTGTCCATGCCTGCTATGATGGGCCTCCCTGGTGGTCTTGTCTTAATAAGCATTCATATAGTCTGGATATTGCACCCTTCTTATGATTGGACTTTGCAACCATATTCACTAACGGAGTATTAGTAACATTAAGATTTCGGGAGCGTCTCTGACATTCCATAGCATGCCTTAATTTTAGGTATTTAAAAAATTGAGCATTGGGTAGTTGAAACTCTTCCTTCAAACTTTCAAAGGATTTCAAATTACCCTCTTCAAATAACTGATGTACAAATTGCAGTCCTCTATATCTCCAGCTCTCAAAGTCTAACAATTTCTGCAGTTCTGGCAAAAAAGAGTTAAACCATATCAGATTAACCGGGGTAATACCTTCGTATTTAATTATTGATTTCATCAATTGCCAGACTTTAGCCATCATAGACAGTGTTGGGTATTCGGAGCAAGACGAAATAGTACCTGCTTCTAACTGAGAGAGAAGAGGGTATTTAGATGATAGAGACAGCAAAATTGCTTGGACTGGATCTTCACCGCAAATATTACCCCATCCTAGCATCTGTTGTGATGCTACAAAGTATAGTCTTGGGTGAGGTATAGCTATACCCCCATTTTCCTTGGCCTTCTGTAACGTATTCAGTTTTATTCGAGAATGTTTTCTCTTCCAGATTAATTGCCTAAAAAGAGTATCTATTTTAGCAAACCATTTCAAATTAATCCAAATTGGTGAGTTATGCAGAACATATAATAGTTGTGGCGCCCACACCATTTTGATCAAGTTTGCCCTCCCTATAACCGTAAGGGGAAGTTTACACCAACTTGTACTTTTTTGCTTAAACCTTAACAGTAGAGGTTTAATATTAAGAATTGGATAGTCTCTTCTAGAAGTTTCTGGACCGTTAGCCCAGGAGCCTATAAAAAGGTCGGCATGAAGGAGAGTGTTTACTCGGCTGGACTCTTTCACAGCAAGCTCCCGCCCACAAGCAATTAAGTATATTTGTTGCAGGCTCATTTACGTGGTCTGTCACTCTTTAAAAGAGGGGACCTATTGTTGGATGGTTATTTATAATATTGCTCGAGTCGTAGTGGCTGGGCAATTGTTTATGGTTGTTTTTAAGTGCAAGTTACAGTAATCAGTTTGAGTTTAATAAAGTTGAAAAGGTTTTTAATATGGTAACCA